GAGAATCGAGTTTACTTGAAAGACAACGTGCATTAGCGGCTTTGAAATGTTCTAAATTATTCAGACGTGATGTAGTCATTCCTTTAGTTAATGAACTAAACTTAGATTTTAGTTATTATGGTCTAATAAAAATTGGAGGTCAAAATTTTACGGTTGACTATGATACTGGATCATCAGATCTTTAGGTTCCAGGTATTCAATATAATTCATCACAATGTGGAACTCATAAACGATTTGATCCTGCAAAATCATTAACATTTATTCCATTACAAAGAAATTTTACGCTAGATTATGGCACTGGTACTGTTATTAGCGGTTATGTAGGTCAAGATACAGTTATTCTTGGTCTTTCTCGTCAAATTGGACAAGTTGTAAATCCTGGGATGATTCAAGCAATGAAAAAAAATTGTTAAATCGTACCATAATTGGATTTCGCCTTGGAAGATATAAATTAAAGGCTACCGATAAGAGTTTCATGAATCTCGGAGGCATCGATGTAAATGCTTATATTGGAAATATTGTATATAACAATCTTATTAATCAGACACGATATTCGGGACTTGGATGATATTATTGCTTGATGCTCAGGTTGACGGTATTTCAATCGGAGGAGTTAATTCATCTGCTTTGAACGATACTGGTCTGCATTGTTTTATTTTTTAATTTAATTTATTATCAAATTTATTTAAAAACTTTTCCTTATTCAATAATTAGTACCCCAGATATAACTGTCAGTGCTTCTTCGAAGGTAGAGACGGGTTTAATTTTTATTTTTTACTTATGGAATATTACATTCTTAAAAAGTGCTTTAAACTGTATAATTCGAGTTGATGCAGTCAACAGATTGAAAAGAGGGCTAAGCAGGTATACAAACTCCCCTTTCGAACACGTGAATTATAGGTTTGACTGAGCCACTGGCGACGCAAATTTCAGAGCAATGCAAAGAAGGTCAAAATCAATGTAGAACAAATTAAAATTGACTTTCGCATTTGGCACTTATGAGGTAATTCATTGTCGCCAAGCAAGATTCGATCTAAGTATAGCCAAATGCAACG